CAGGACAGTTGGTCACCCTTGCACACACATATAATATTTTATTCTTTATACATGTATAATGTATTATACTTTTTCTTCCTAATAACTTGAATCATCTTTCACAATTATTTTACTATGCCATCATATGATGTTGCCCATAATAACCATTTCGATGAATAAATGTACTAAACTAAACCAACATACTAATAATTTTTTAGATATTTTATCTCAGTTTTACTGTCTCCTCTTGCTGCCACAATGTATTCTAAAACCCTTTAAATTCTATTAGTAAAAATACAAAGTCAGATAGCCAACCAACTCCTGAGAATTTATAAAATGTATTTTCTAAGTAGTCTATAGGTTTTTTAATTTTTAAAAAATTATCATTGGTATACAATATTATATTGATTTCAGGTATACGATATCATAATTAGATACTTATATACCATATGAAATGATTACCATATTAAGACTTGTACCCATCTGACACTGTATGTAGTTATTAGAATATTATTGACTATATTCCCTACACTGTACATTAAATCTCTGTGACTAATTTTATTTTTTAATATATATTTTATTGATTATGCTATTGTAGTTATCCTCCCCATTTTTTCCTCCCCTTCATTCCACTCCACCCTGCACTGCCCCTCCCCCCAGCCTTCCCTTCCCTCTTAGTTCATGTCCTTGGGTCGTAGGTATAAGTTCTTTGGCTTCTCCATTTCCTATATTATTCTTAACCTCCCTCTGTCTATTTTGTACCTACTATTTATGCTGCTTACTCCCAGTACATTTTCCCCCATTCTTCCTCCTCCCCTGCCTCTCTGATCTCTATTCTATGATTCTATTTCTGTTCGAGTTGTTTGCTTAGTTTGTTTTTGTTTTTGTTTTTAGGTTCAGTTGTTGATAGTTGTGAATTTGTTGTCATTTCACTGTTCATAGGTTTTGATCTTCTTCTTTTTCTTAGCTAAGTCCCTTTAACATTTCCTATAATAAGGGCTTGGTGATGGTGAACTCCTTTAACTTTACCTTATCTGGGAAGCACTTTATCTGCCCTTCCATTCTAAATGATAGCTTTGCTGGATAGAGTAATCTTGGATGTAGGTCCTTGTATTTCATGACTTTGAATACTTCTTGCCAGCCCCTTCTTGCCTGCAAGGTTTCTTTTGAGAAATCAGTTGATAGTCTTATGGGAACTCCTTTGTAGGTAACTGTCTCCTTTTCTCTTGCTGCCTTTAAGATTCTCTCCTTATCTTTAATCTTGGGTAATGTAATTATGATGTGCCTTGGTGTGTGCTTCCTTGGGTCCAGCTTCTTTGGGACTCTAAGCTTCCTGGATCTGCTGGAAGTCTATTTCCTTGGCCAGACTGGGGAAGTACTCCTTCATTATTTTTTCAAATAAGTTTTCAATTTCTTGCTCTTCTTCTTCTCCTTCTGGCACCCCTATGATTTGGGTGTTGGAACATTTAAAGTTGTCCCAGAGGTTCCTAAGCCTCTCCTCATTTTTTTGAATTCTTGTTTCTTCATTCTGTTCTGGTTGAATGTTTCTCTCTTCCTCCTGCTCCAAATCGTTAATTTGAGTCCCAGTTTCCTTCCCTTTACTGTTCATTCCCTGTATAATTTTCTTTATTTCACTTTGCATAGACTTCACTTTTTCCTCCATTTTGCAACCATACTCAACCAATTCAGTGAGCATCCAGATTACCAGTGATTTGAACTGTGCATCTGATAGGTTGGCTATCTGTTCATCGCTTAGTTCTACTTTTGGAGCTTTGATCTATTCTTTCATTTGGGCCATATTTCCTTGTCTCCATGTGCCTGTTACATTGGGAGGGGCAGAGCCTTAGCCATTTGCCAGGGAGGGGCAACCCAGGTGGCTGGGTTGTGACAATGAATGTGGGGGAGGGGTCCGAGAGGGAACAATGCCTCTTGCTCAGCTCTCCACCAGCTTTCAGTCACTTCCACCACTACCCACAGGCAAATTGAGCCCTTCTGCTGCTGATTCCCAGGTGGGTGGGTTTGTGTATATTTTAGAACCCTGTGGGTCTCTCCAACAGACTCTCCTGTGAGGCTGGGAGTTTTTTTGCTGCCACAACCCCCACCAGTTTTTATGACCAGAGGTTTTGAGGCTTTCTTTTCCTGTACTGGAACCCTGGATTGCATGGTCTGTCTCATTCCCCAGCTGTTCCTCATGGTTTATCCGCATGCAAATGTGGGACTGCCCGGTCCACCAGCCACTTTACCACACATCCTCTCCTCCCCGGCTACCTGTTTCTACCTCTTCTACCAGTCTGGATAAATGTTTCTTCTTTAACTCCTTGGTTGTTCAACTTCCATAAGGTTTGATTTTCTGGAAGTTCTGGTTATTTTTTGTTTTTGAATTTGTTGTTGTCCTTCTTTTGGTTGTGCAAGGAGACAAAGTGTATCTACCTATACCTCCATCTTGGCAGGAAGTCTCTGTGACTAATTTTAAAACTGGTATTTTATAATACTTCTTAATCCCTTTGACCTTTTTTGACCTTTTTGACCCATCACCCCACCCTTACCTTCCAACCCTCAGCAACTATCAGTTTGTTCTCTGTATTTATGAATTTTTTTTTACTTTGTTTTGTTTTTTAGATCCCACATATAAGTGAAATCATACGGTATTTCAGTTTCTCTGTCTGGCGTATTTTACTTAGCATAATATCCTCTAGGTCCATCCATGTTGTTGCAAATGGAAAGATTTTTATTCTCTCTTTCTTGGTTGAATAATATTCTATTGTAAATATGTGTAACATTTTTTTGATCCATTGCCTCTCAATGGGTACCTAGGTTGTTTCCAAATCTTGGCTATTGTAAATAATGCTGTAATGAACATAGCAGGTCTGCATGCATTTTGAGGGAATAAAGTGCATTTTTTTAATTTAAAAAGAATTGCTCCACTGGATAAGAATTAAATTAGGTGATCAATCAATAGTGCATTAAAGAAGATAGAAGTGTATTTTCTCTCCTGTGAAAGTAGTCCAGGGACAGGCAGCTCAGGGCTGGCAAAGAAACTTTACACCATCGGAAAACCAGGCTTTCTCGACATTGTTACACTGAATTTCATGGTCTAAGATGGTTGCTGAGATTCCAGCCATCATTACGATATTCCAATCAGTGAGAGGGAGGAAGGGAAAGAGAATCACATTCAATATTTCAACCTCAGCCACAACTTAGTCATATGGCCACATCTAGCTGATATTAACACTGTAAAATATAGACTTTACTCTGAGTTGCCACATGTACCACTAAAACCAGAATTCTGTTACTTAGGGAAAGAGGGGAAAAAAGTACCAAGGAACAATTAGATGTTCCTGGAACATCTATCCAGACTTAGCTACTACAGTAAATGAAATTTCCACGTTTATAACCCAAGAATTACTTTAGTCTTTCCTATTTGTTTTTTTTTCCTCTGCCCTCAACATGTGATCCCTGTAAAAAAAAAAAAAGTAAGTCCACTTACATCGTCAGCATATGAGTTTGCATATATCTTGTCCTGCATCATCTTGGTTCTCTTCAACAGACATAATTCATGCTGAAATGTGGAAAGTAATTGAAACCATGCCAAACCCTCTGCTTAAAGCTGGGTCCAATATTTCTTCTTCCAGTTAAACATTCAACTCACATAGGCAATAGCTAAATGGATTTGCATGTGACCACTGTGCCTGCAACCTTGAATTATGTCATCTCCAAGGGTCTGAGTCTGGCCTATGACCTCATAACTGCAACTTTCTTTGAGAGCCTGGTTTTGTGAGTCTCACAAGGAGGGAGAAGACTATACTGACACCCTGAGCATCCTCAAAGATTCCTGGATTCCTGGAATTTTATTAGTAACAGGTACCAAGACTCCAACTCCCTCCTTTTGTTGAGAAGACCCACAAGAGTTAAGTAACTTGTCTAAGGATATCAAGCTATTTAGTTACAAGACGTACTTTGATAATTACTCCTGGTCCAATTCTCCAAATATCATGAACAGGATATGAGCTGTGGTTGTTCAGGACCTATCTTTAGGTGGACACATCATCACTGTGGTTCTACCATATTTCCTTCCCACTGACACTCAGAAGCAGCTTTGTGATGTTCTATCAGCCTCACATAACCTCTACAGGAGGAGGACGCTAGCGTGGTAGAGAGTTACCGTCTCATCTGCAGGGCGAAGGGGCTTGACGGCCCTCTCCTTCGTGTGTGGTAAGATGTGCATGAGGAGCAGGAGTCATTGTTTCTTTCCAGATTTTTAGATCTCCCAAACGACAGTCCTAAGCCACCTCTTTCAGGTGTCACATGTATCAGGGGAACTCTGATAATTCATTTTTTTACCACTTACACAGGACAGAAAGTTGTATATGCTCACAGAATTATCAAACTGGAAGGGAGCTAGAGATCACTATTTTCTCAAGTTCTTGATTTCTCAGTTGCAAAATCTAAACCCAGAGAGATGAATTGATGTAGCCAAGATCATATTTCTTCATTATGATTTACAGAAAGCCAAAGCTTAAAACAACTCCACAGTTTATTTCCAATAATATTAACTCTTACTATTTACATAATAGACTAGTATCTGAAAACTAATTGCCCCCTTTAGATGAAAAAAAAAGTGTGGAGTTGCTCCAAAATCTTTTAAATGTATAATTACATGACATGGGCTAGGTTTATAAAATATTTTATTTACAGTAGAGCTTTACAAAAATAGTTTTAATAAAATTAATACAAAACCATTTTACAATATAACTTATATAACTATCTTCTCAAAAAAGTGACATTTGATTATAACACATAAACTACAATTTGTATTTGTTAAGTCACATTGTAGTATAAATATGTTTCATCACCATTTTTTAATAATAAGGTACATGCCAATAACAATGAACAATGGACAACAATGTTATTTTATTATTCTTCCAATGTAAAAGTCATCTCTGGCCAAAACAAAATTAACCAAAGAAAAGTAAAACAATTGTCCTTCTGTTCAACAACACAGTCCTTTTTAATTATTTGAGAGTTTATCGGACAAAGACACCGCATTAATTTGAAAGCACTGTGGCATAAAGTCTAGTAACAATATCCCCAAAAGCCTTCTCCGATGTCTTTGCTCAACTGTTTATTCAGTTTTTTGCCAAGATAAATAAAGATTGATCTCAACTCTCTCCTTCATTAGTCTCAAGTGTTCTTAATATGCATTGAGGTTTTTAGACCTTCCCAGCTGGCATATGTTTAAAATGTGAGTTTCTTTCTTTGGCTTCAAGTAGAGTTTCACAACGCTTAGGAAACATACTGAGCTCCTCCATGTGGCTGAATCTCAGTGACTCCCCACCCAACAACATTTCCCCGGATGTGACATGACTCTGCTCCTCCAGTCTCTCTTATCTCTTCGTTGCTGAGAACACGATCCCAGATATTGAAGCCTGTGAGTCTTCCAGAAAAAGCTAATGTTTCATCAAAGCCACCGCCCACACAGCAGCCATTCTTTTCTTGGCCAATCTGCAGTATGCCTCCCTCAGGAATAATGTGACCGGTGGCCATCCCTACAGTAGTAGCCACCAGTTCACCATTTACCCACAAGGACATGAGCCCTTTCTCTGAATTCCAGGTGCTGCACAGATGGGTCCACCTTCCCAGGGAAATCACAGTATCGGCAACCAGTCTGTTCTCCTCTCCACCCACCACAAACACCATGGACTGATTGCTGAGGTACAGCTGCATCTCATATGGATTCCTCTTCGTGCCATAGGAAAACAGGATGGTTTTGTTTAATACATCTGTGGCTTTGACCCAAATGCAGGCACTAAAAGATTCAAGCTTCATTGGTGTCGCTGGATGCACGCTTCCAAAAATCTTTTTGGAACGCATTGGGAATAAAATCGCTGTTTCACAACCTAGAGTAGCAAGACAATAAGAAGAATATGAAAGAAAATATGAAGTCATTCAGAAGTGATTCTGGTATTTAGGTATTTTAGCATGGACATTTTAATGATTACAATTGAAAATTATATGCAGTATCACATTATGACTTGAGGGGCCTCAAATGTACTCTCTGTAGAGCAAAGAAAACAGGAACAAAGAAAGCCAACTGTCTCCTTCAATGAAGCATCTAAACGGAGGGGAAGGCGTGCAGAGAAGCCAAACTGTCCAAACCACAAAATAATGAAAATCATGTTTTAATAAGTATTTCCCCTCCCAATTAACTTTTTTTCTTTGTTACAGCTCTTTAAAAAATGTTGAATCACTATGCATTAACTTCAAACAATGATACCATAATTTCCGAGAACTCAGGGCCAAACTGGTTTCCTTCTCCTTGATTTCACCAAGTTTCTAGAACAAAAACTTGTAAATTCTTTGATCTAGCTTACCTCATTTAGCCACTGTTAACATTCATTTTAAACATAGGACAGTCATGTTGTTGCTGAATATACCACATGTTCTCAGATACTTGTAAGTTTTGCAAAATTTGTAGAAAATTACCTTTGAAAGGCAACAATGTATAATAGGGATGACTAATTTGTATTGGGTGCTCACTATGTGCCAGATACTGTTCTTAACACTTTATATGCCATTTTAATCTTCATACCAACTCTAAGAGATAGTCATAATATTCCCATTTGACAGATAAGAAAACTGAGTCAAAGAGCACTAAGTACCGAGTTATGTTTACACAGTTGATAAGTAGTAAAACTGAGGTTTGGATTTGGGCACTCTGGCTGCAGAGCCAACACCCTTAACCTGCACACGCATTGCTCTTTAATGGTAGAAGAGCCCCCTGGATTTGGCTAGAACAGCTGGAATTCAGTTTGGTGTACTGCTAGTAAGCTGTGCAGCTTTTGATGAGCCCACTAATCTCTCCAAGCTTTACGGTTTTCTATAAAAGGTTCTTCCTTCCATTCTCCTTCCAATATTCTGTGAATTAGTAAGCAACAACTATGTAGCACTCAGGAAGGGCTGTGTAGACCAAGAGTATGCTTAAAAAATCTTACTTTGTTCTCATGCTTATAAATACTATTTAAGCAATAATAGAAAACTTTAAGGAAGAGTGAATTCTTCCAAGGGGATTGTTGGAAAACCTATTTCTGCTAAAGAGCACTTAGAAGGAGACTTTCAAACTTAGGGTCTGGGAGCTCAGTGAACTCCCCCCTCTGCTCCGCTCCAGATCACATGTCTGGTAAGGGGACTGGAAATGCTGAAATGAAGACCTTCTGGGTGTCTCTGGGAAACTATGTGCTAAAACCTTTAACAGATGAATTCTGCTTTATGCTAACTTCATATGTGTATAGACAAACAGATAAAGAAATATTTTTTAATCTAAATTAGGACCAGTCATTACCTCTGTAACAACCTAAGGAAGATTTGCCATAAAACAGATTTGAAAAGTAAATTTCCAGAGCATTTAAAGACTAACTGGTAAATAGACAGAACCTGCAGGAATCAAGCATCCATGAAAAGTACGCGAAGCTAAGTTAAATGCATGCAAGTGGCTAAGGGCTAGGCTCTGTCCTCAGAAAAATTAAACAGATGTAAACAGCCAAAGAAAATATTAAGATTCATAAAATCCTATAAAAGTAACTGCACTACTAAAGCACAAACCTGGCCCTGTCACTCTCTGGTATTAACTTTTTCACTGAATAATTTGAATTTTTGAAGATTTTTAAAAATTAATTTTTAATGAGACATTGATTCTTTTTCAAGTGAAATTGGTAGGTGCAATTTTGTTTTTCTAGCTGTGTTAAATAAATCAAACAAAGATCATGGAACAAAAGATCACATTATGCTTGGGCATTTGAGATATTCCCCTGTAATGTTTCAGAAAAATAGTGTTCAAGAGGGTGCCTACTGCAACCTAATTAACTGATTTCCTGTTTAAATAAGCGCAGGCAGTCAGGGTTGCATTCCAAAGCATTCCTTCATGGCCTCTCAAAGACCCAGCTTCCCCTGCAGGCTGCCCTGGTTCTGTGAGTTCATGGAGTGGAACTGCATGTTGGCAGGCTTTTTCTGGTTAGTTTTGGGGACCAGTGATGGAGGCTCTTGATATCTCTTTAAAATGTCAGAAACTCTCTCATGAAATAGCTTTTAACTAATAGGTTTTTCTGATTATGTTATCAAAGACCAAACAAAATTAAAACCAGGTTCTTCGGAGGCCAACAACAGAATGATTAGGAATCCCTTAGAAGCCAAGCTGGCAGGAAACCAAGAGGGGGGAAATCAAAGCATGTGAGTAAATGTATTATTGGATTTAATTAAAAATTAACATCTGAGGATTCAGAAATACATCCCTCTTCTGCTCTAACTAATATGCAGAGGTAAAGATGAAAATTGGAGTAATTCTTCAGTTTTTCAAGTACATTATATGGACAAAGACTTTACATGGTTTGCAAAAGACAAGAAATTTCACTCATTAAAAATAGCCACAGAATTATAATTTGTCTTTCTCACTTACATTGAGGATCTACTGTGTATTTGATATTATGCTTTTCCCCCCTCTGAAGCCCTACTGAATGTTTAAGAAAAGATGTTCTGAACTGATAAACAATCCTCAAACATTCAGTAAAGATTGATATTCTGGTACAGTTTCTGTAATTTAAATGCTATGTGCTTTCACACATGCTTATGATTTTCCTCATACACCATCCAATAAGAGTTGTTCTACACTGCCGGCTGCACTTGGGGTCCCTCAGCAGCCGGTTTATTCCAAAGCGTACACCCTGGGCCCTCCACTGGCCAGCTAATTCCACAGGCCCTGGGGGCTGGGGGCCCCTTGGGAATTCCATAACCCTTCCTGAGATCAGATTCAGCCCCAAGTCGCTTGCTCAGAACTGGCGGGAAGGAGAGGCTGGCCCAGGGACTGGAAAACATCCCTAAAAATTATGCTGGGCCCCAAAATAGCGCGGGGAACCAGAGCTTCCCTAACGAGAGAGACCGGCTAAATTTAGAAGAAGTGGAAATCCCTAACGGAGGGAAGCAAGACCGCTAGAGAGGTCAGTTATAACTGGCCAATACAGCCCCTGCAACGCCTGGGCAGATCGGGTGTCCGCTAGGGGCCCTTGCCTATTTTGAGCCTATGATGGTCTCCTCCATAGCTATTTTCGGGGTTCCTCGGGAATGGAGAATACTTTTTAAAGCCAGTTTTCCCGCCTTGTATACTTGTATAGTGTGTCTGTGCTCTGTGACTGCGTGGAGAAAGGGGGGTGGGGGGAAGAGTGAGTGAGTGAGTGAGTGAGTGAGTGAGTGAGTGTGTGTGTTTGTTTCCCCTCTTAAAGTGTCCGCTGGAGGGATGCCTGACTTGGCTTCCCGCAACGCGCGCTCGAAGAACAAAGCCGCAGGGACGACCCTGCCTGGCCGCGTCCTTACCTGCAGGCAGCCACCGCCTGGCCGCCCAGTCCTGCACAGCGCGGAGGTCCGCTCGCGTCCGCCGCAGCTCCTCGAGCACGGCGTCCAGGGCGCGCCCCGCCTCCCCCGGGCGCTGCGCCTCGGCGCCCTCCAGGCGCGCCAGCCTGCGGCCCGCCTCGCGGCTCGCTTGCAGCAGCTCGTCCAGCGCCGGGGCCAGCCTGGCCTCCGCGGGGGCTGCCGGTGCGCACGGCCTGGCCAGACTGCCGGCCAGCCGGCCCAGCTCTGCCCGCAGCCTCCGCAGCTCGCCACGGAGGACGTCGTCGGTGGCCTGCAGCAGCATGCCCTCCCTCATCTGCGAGTTCTCCAGCATGATGAAGAGCTTGTCCCACTCGGAGTGCTCCCGACGGCAGTCACACGGCGTAGCTAGAGCGCAGGACGCACACACATGTTACCGACCTGCCCAGGCCTTCCTTCGATGTGCTTTGTAAAAAGCTGACCTCCCCAGGTGGTCCCAAGTTATGGCCCAGCACCCCCCCCCTTCCCTTTAAGGACACCTGGAAGAAACAGCAGAAAGATATCTGAGAATGACAGAAACCATTCACGCAGGTACATGTTAAGCTGAACTCTATGAAATTGCCGTTCATGTAGCCCAAAACAGGCAAACGTAGGCGATTTCATAGGGTTCAGCCCGTTATGGATCTGTGACAGAAATAACTTTTTGAAAGCTTTCTTGAAGTGCTTCTCTCTTTTGCAAAACAAACTATACTTTTTAGCCCGTTTCACTGGCTACAAAATATATGTGATTTTTAGACCCAAAGCGGTTGATATGTAGTTAGGGTTAGCAGAGAAACAGTTAAAATGAACTTACGCTCCTCAGTGGGATGGAGTCCATTGTCTATTTCGTTGTCCAAATTCACATACATGAGCTCATAGTCATCCGAGTTCTCGGCACACGCTGCAGACCAGAGAACACAAAATAGAATCGCATAGAGATGCATTGCTGGAGAGAGACAAAGTTGTTCCGCGACTTCGCACAGCCGGTGGAGGGGACCAGCCTAGAGCCTCTCAAGTGAGCAGACTTTGAGCAGAGGCGAGTGAGAGTGAGAGGCAGGAGCCGAGAGCCCTTAATAAATGCTGGGGAAGCCTGAATGGGGATGAATGAGTAATGCCGGTGGCACTGCATAGCGGGAGTTCCCCTGAATTTGAGGGGGAGGGGGCTGGGTGGGAGGGTGAGGGAGACTTGGAGGTTGCTCAGTAGTAAACCACAAAGGTTTGCACAGCAGGCAGATTAATTGGAGGAGGGTCAGAGGGGAAAGGGGTGGGGGTGGGATGGGGGCGGGGGAGGGGAGCGGAGGGTGGGGACTGGGTTACGACTTTGCCCCTGAGGATTATCTTGTAACTTGAATTGGTAGCACTGAGGGATGGAAGGAAGGGGAGCTGGGTTAGGGAGAGAAATAATTTTCCCGGGCATAGAGGTGTGAAAGCAAGATCATCATTTCAGCATTTTGTGTGCAGTTTTATTATTTCACAACCTTTTATGGGTAGAAAACTCTTTTTCACTTTTTCTTTTGTAAGCAGTTTTACAGGTCTAAACCATGAAAGTAACTCACTGATTTTGAGATAAACCAACTTTGAATTTCTATGGCTCTGGGAGCCAAGTCTGTTTCTAGTTATTCTATCTTTAATCCTTATGGAGTTACTGTATAAACACACTTTTGTTTTTATTGATTTGGAAAAGAGGGGAAAGAAGGAGGGAAGGAGGAAGAGAGAGGGGAAACATCAACTTGTTGTTCCACTTATTTAAGGGTTCCTTGGTTGATTCTTGTATGAGCCTTGGCCCTGGAACAGACCCACAACCTTGGTGAATCCAGACAATGCTCTAACCACCTGGGCTACCCAGCCAAACACACTTTTTAAAATGACAACACAGCAAAACTGGTAAACCTAAAATGAGAAAGACCTGGTGGAGAGGAATAAACTGACTTTAGGTGTGTTTTTAATAACCCAATATTATATGTAAATTATATTTTTCCACTAGCCTTAGAATCAAAAGTCATGTTTTTAGAGTAAATTTAGGGGTTCCTGCTTCTGCCAATGTATGGAGATCTATCTATATTGAAAACTTTCCTGCACAAAACACCTAGAAATGTGTTTAAATAATAATTTTAAATGTACAAATAAGTATCTCCCTAAATAAGGGAAATATTCAGGGGCAAAAGATAGAGAAGGAACCAAAACCAGAAGGGTAAGCCCAAGAGCTGATGCTGGAGAACCCCTGGAGAGAGGCTGTCAGGTCTCTAACAGCTGTATTAGTGACCATGTGGGAGCAAAGCTTATGCCAGGGTGGAGAGTTAGAAGTGAGACCCTCACCTAAAGCCAGATTCTCAGGTAGGTAATAGCCTTACTCTCTGTCCTAGCTCCAGAGAGTGGAAAGTAAGCGTGTTTCTCTTTGATGGAATTCAACAGAGCCCCGTCTGTAATCCCAGCCACATCCGTAATGTCTCCCCAAAGACGCCGACATCTTAATCCTTATAACCAGTGAACACAGTATGTTTTTCTGCACTGAAGAAGGAATTAGGGTTGTTTCATAAAAGAGAGAGGGAAAGTCCTAGATTATCCAGATGGGCTCCATGTAATCACAAGAGTGCTTAAAAGTGGAAGAGAGGCAGAAGAGACAATCAGGGAAAGAAGTGTGATAAGGGAAGCAGGGTCAGAGAGATGCTGTGCTGATGCCTTTGAAGATGGAGAAAGGGGACTCTGAGCCAAAGAAGGCTGGTGGTCTCCAGAAGCCAGAAAAGCCAAGGAAACGGATTCCCTCCCACCACCTCCAGGAAGGAACCCAGCCCTTCCAGCATCTGAATTTTAGCCCAGTGAGATTCACATCAGCGTTCCACACTATAGAAATATAGGATAATAAATTTGTGGGGTTTTGGACTACTGAGTTTTTGGTAATTACTTATGGCTGCAATAGAAAACTATTAAAATCACTGCAAGGAAATTTTAGAAGATCTAGAAACTTAATTCCCAAGGACATACTCATGGCTTTGCTACTGTGTGGTCTAAAGACCATCAGCATCACCTTAAAAATCGGTAAAAAATCAGATTCTCCAGCCCTACCCTCAACCTGCTGAAATAGTGTCCGGGTTTTAACAAGTTTCCCGGGTGATTTCTAAGCACACTGAGCTCAAAAGCAGTGTCCTAGGGAATACCTCCCATTTATACACAAAGAAATAAGGATAAAAAATACAGCACTATTAGTAAAAACAAATAATCTTTCAACCATAGAGTATATTAATAAATTGTTGCATATTTTTACAATGGAATACTATACAGCTGTAAGAATAAAAGAAGAGCTTCTTGGAGATAAAACTTCAAAATAATGTTGAGTAGGGGAAAAAAACATGTTGCAGAGAAATATGTTCAATATGATAATATTGATATAAAATTTAAAGCATGCAAAATAAGACCATGAAATGGTTATTGATACATACACATGCAATTAAAGTATAAAAACATTCATGACGATAAATACCAACTTCAGGATGGTGGTTCCTTCTAAGGAGAAAAAGAAATGAATGGGATGGGAAGCAATTATGGCATAAAGTTAAGTTTTGGCAAAGCTGCTTGGTAGATGCACCAGTGTTTCTTCTATTATTGCCTGCATTTGTCTCGTGGCTGGAATATTTCATAATTTAAAAGACTATACTAATTTATTAATGGAATTTATAGAATTTCTACATCAGTTTCTAACTCAAAAAAAAGTTCTTACGCATTTATTTTTGTATTGTTTGATCAAAACTCAAGTCAAGTGAAAAATGACTGATCTGGGGGTTTCCCCTTCGAGGCTCCCAGGGCCTTTAGGAAGTGTTGTACCAAAAATCATCGCACCAATTTCCTGTCTTGAATCCCAACAACAGTCCCATTCATCATGACCCTTTTCAGAGGTGATCAGTTTTCCTACGTAACTAAACTCTATGATCCAATGTGCTCTGTGTACGCTTAAAATTCCTGATCTTTTAAGGAAAAGCCCTTGGTAAAAATAAACAAAATAAAACGATATTTTTCAATGGACACAGCATTTTCTTTAAAAGGAAACCCTGAATATTTCCAACACCTTGTACTCTATGGGCATCTAAGAAAATCTGTTTGAGACTAATTCTATGAACCACATGTGGAAAAAGCAATTCTCATTATTTATTGTCACTCAAATACATTCAGTTTGATCCAGAATCAGCCTTTCATTAAATTTAGTTATTGACACTCTGAAAATAGTGACCTTCCTTTCTTTATTCTGATATCTAAATGTCCTTTATATGTGGGCTTGTCCCCACAATTTAATAAAGGTCTACATATGTGTAATCACTGCTTATGTGATTCTTTCTGTGTATATTTTCTACATACAAAGCCGAATTTAATGTAAATAGAAGCAAGAAAATTCTTGTCCAAGAAATGCATAGGAACCAGTTCTCCTGAGACAGTTCAGTACATGAGAGTATTTTGAGGGGAAAAAAAATCCATACCATAAAGTGATAGGCAGATGTTTCCCATATGTTGTTTGCGGATAAATCCCTCTAGTTTATGTAATATTTATTCTTGAGATTTTGCCATTTTAAATCCAGTTGTTCATACATGTCTTTGAGGCAAATCACATGTGACAAACAAGCTGACTCTAAACTTCCTTTGAAATAGTGCAGAAATGGGGATTTAAATTTGCATTGCTACTTTCCTAACTATTCATAAAAACAAGGCATAGTTTCCATATGTCCGTTGTCTAAATCATGTGCCTGGTATTTCTCAGGAATGTGAATATATTCCTCTGCACTTTATTTTTTGTTGTTCAGTTTCATTTAGGTTCATGCTTATGACACTTAGTTTTCACTTAAACAACATCCAAATGTTCTCATCAGGGATCCTTCAGAACTGTTTCCTTCTCAAGGGTGTGGTCTGATTACTGTCAAAGTTTCCTTTCTCCCCATGGTGCATTACTCAGGAAAATTTTTCATTAGATAACAATGCTAATCATTTCATACAATATTCTCTTTTATGGAATCGTTTTATTGTGCTTTTGTGATTTCTTGGAATAAGCAGCGTAAGGTATTGTACAATGTTATTTCAGCAGAAGACTTGGACATCAGCTCATGCTATTTAATGTGTGAGTACAAAGGTTATTGCATTGACAGTAATGTTATTTCTAGTGCTCATGGATTGATAATGTCATCATTCCTTTTATTGTTTTCTCAACAGGTAATGCCATGTTGCTGAGAGTGTTACCTGCTGTGTATGAAAAACAGCCTCATCCAATTAACAGACACCTGACAGAACTCCTGGCCTTGATGTCTCAGCTGGAACAAGCAGAACAGTACCATCTCCTACGGCTTTTGCACGTAGCTGCAAAGAGAAAGCAACCAGAGGTAAAGAGTACATCATGTACTTGATGGTCCACACAGCCAGGCATGTCTTTGAGCAGGATGTGTACTTCAGGTTAATTCTCTCATGTGTCTATACACACCCATCTTTAAATGAAAGCACTCATCCACTTCTTCTAGAATCATAAAAATCAGGAGGTGATGGCAGAAGTTGGGTACTGTCTTGGGGTTCTACAGAGAAACCAAACCAATAGGATTTACGTGTATGAGTGTGTGTTTCTGATTTATTATAAAGAGTTGGCTTATGTGATTATGGAGGCTGAGAAGTCCTACAATCTTCCATCTGCAAGATGAGTGCTCAGGAGACCAAATGCTGTAATTCAAGCCTGAATCTGAAGACCTTAGAAACAAGAGAACTGATGGTGTGAGTTCTTATGGAAGTCCAAATACCCGAGAACCTGAGGGATGATGGTCTAAGTTCCTGTCTGAGAATAAGAGAGGACCGATGTCCTTGCTCAAAAAGTCATATTCAGGCCCCTGACAGACTGGATGAGGCTCGTCCACCCTGGAGATGGCAATCAGTCTACTGCCCTCTAATGTCCTTTACTCAGTCCACTGATTTAAACACCAGTCTCATGCGGAAACACTCTCACAGACGCCCAGACTAATGCTTAACCAAATATCTGGGCACCTAGTGACCCAGTGGAGTTGACACACAAAATAACTATCATGGGTGCAGTAATAAAACACATCAAATGTGCAAATCTGTGGCCACTGAAGGACAGCTTTACTGAGGCTGAGTGTGGTCAAGCAGTCCTAGGAATCTATGGTTTTTCAGAGCTGAGGGGAAGACCCTTCCCTGCCTTGATAGATGAGGAAATCAGCCCGCACCGAGGCTCGTCTTCTAAAGAGCAAATTAGTTATCATTCTTTGGATTGAAGTAAAAGATTGTAACACCATCTTTTGCCATGTATAATGTGCACCCACATTTTTGTGCACATTATCACAGGATTATTATACCCATGGTATGTAATCATTATACCCATGTATAATGCACATCTTTATTTTTCCCTCAAAAATTTGGGCAAAAAAAGAGAATTATACATAGAAAAATACAGTAATTAGGATACTTGTGATTATCAGTAACAGAACACCCAACCCACACTAGTGTAAACAATAAAAGGAATTTATTAACTATTGTAATGGGAAAGAACCCTCAGATGAGGCTGGATACAGGGGCTCAAATAATGTGAACAAAACAGTTTCTCTATTCCTGTTTCTCAGATATGACTCCTGACTTTGGTTTCCTTTCTCTGCAGGCTGACACTGGTTAGGTAACTTTCCCAGAGCCCTACAGGTCAGGCCAAGCTACATTGTAAACCCAGTCTAAATCTAAATAGTAAGATCTTTTAACCTCAAAACAGTAAAAAAGTAAGGCTGCAAGGCTGTGGCTAGTACAGCAAATGGCAGTTCTGGGGCCACAGCAGAAGAAGCTAGTCAGGAAGGTATGCTAGACAAGAGGAAGAGAATTGAACTGAACAAGGAGGAGAGGGTGAAAACAGATTCATGCAGGTACTGTGGGTGCTGAGTGTGGATCCCAGAATGAAGACACAAGGGCTTAGGAAGCAGCCACAGTGATGCAAACAGACATCCCCTATGCCAAGGTCCTAATGGTGGGAAGAAGTTATGATGGGAGAGCCATCCAACCCTTTGTGTCTCATCAACGTGCCCCTTCTTGTTAAAGTAGCACCCCTGCCTTGCCTCCTTCAGTCATCAGCTCTTCTTTAGCTCACCCTTGATTGCTGAGATGCACAGGCAGTGAGCCAGAGAGTGCCTGATTCACTTCCTCTGCCTTAAGTTGTTCCTTAATTAGACAGCAGGCAAAGGGAATGGGAGAAATACAGTGAAAGGGTGTACTGAGAGAGGACAGCGAAATTCATGGCAACAATCAGAAATGAGGACTGAGGTTTTCGATGACAGTCTGGTTCATTTAATTTCAGATGAAATAGGAAGCTAAAAGGAGAGGTTTTTGACCTTGTGAAATTTGGATTAAAGTGGAGCTTTTCCTTCTGCATAAAAGCTGTGCCAATGCTCTGCAACTTGGAGGTAAAGTGCTGGGGCTCTCCAGTGAGGGCAACATGCAGAGCTGTTTCACGCTTTCTTGAATGTCATCCTAATTACCCACCTTCTGTGACTGGTGATAACCTGGCTTTCAAGGGCTAGAGGGTCAACAGTTGGCTCTTGAAAGAAACATCTTCCCTATGTATGGCTGAGCAGTCCAGTAGTCCATGGGACTGCAAACATGGCATAGCTTTTTCAACATCAACCATATGTCTGTGGACTTCCATGTGGCTGGTGGGACAGGTGGGTTCCCTTCTGTCATTGCGGCCCTCTGGTGATCCCTCTCTTAGTAAGCCATCCTTTCTAGGTGAAAATAGGCAGTTCCTGGTTAGTGATTCATGGCAAGAATTTCCAGAGAATCCTTAGAGTCCATTTATAGAAAGAGGCTGGGTGGTCAGTTTTTCCAGGTGGCCTTCTGGAGCTAAGCCTGTGTTCTTGGCTGCCACGAATTCTGCTGCGGCCTAGCCAATGAAAGGAACAGAATTCAGTAACACATACGATTGTATCTGTTATCCTCAGAACAAGGGCTTCTAGCCCTAACTGTACAGAGATGAGTAGCAGCAAATGGCAAGCTCAGCCCTCTGTGGATTAATATCCAGAGTCAGAGGAGCTACTTTTATGGTCTATTCCCTAGGAAAGAGAGTCATTTTCTAGGCTTTTTCTCTCAGTAGTGTAGAGCACTTCTATTTACATACCTAATCCTACAGTACCATTCAAAGCATCACCATGCTGACATTCCTTAGATGTCACTTTTGGTATTTAAAATAAGACATCAGTTGCACAACATTAAGAAGATAGTGTTAGAGTGAGTGCATGCACACACATGTATACACACAAACAGGTCTACCTTTTATTCTATACATTTAAGTTATGGTGGTCTGTTTCCAGATGGCTTGCCTTCAAGGTACCAGTTGCTTGGGGTGATGAGATGTGTCTACAACATTTCAGTTCAGCGACAAGATACTAAACTTGTCAGCACACTGCTATGGAAGAAAATAAAAAGGCAGCAATCAATTCTGCTCAGGACTGACCAGAGAAGCCAGGGATAGGACCCTTCCCTAGGCTACTGGGTTCGTGTCCGAGCCTGTTCGCAGTTCCCATCCATTCCCCCACCTACTAACCATAGTCCGAATAACTCAGAAGCCCTTTTGTACGTGTCTCCATCCTGTTTCCAGAGCTTATTAACAGAACAGGCCTGTTACCAGGGTCTGTTCTCCCAAGGACAGGCTATGCCAACAGTGTGACCCCACAGGCCTGAAGGGTAGCCTTGATGAGCTGTGGGCTCATCGTATGTGGGCTGGAGTATCCATATATTTGCATAAGAGACTCCTTGAAGGGCAAAGCCAGGGATAGGAGGAGAAGGGAGGGGAAAGGTATGGAAGCTAAGTGCCATTTCTTCCTGTTCCTTCTACAGAAGCTAAAAATTGCTATAAAAATACATGTCAGGTAGAAGGATAGAGCATTTTTTAATAGCTACTGAATATTTAGGTGCAGGGTCTTCAGGCCTCCATGAGTACCCCAGCCCCAGGTCCTGCTGGAGGGAAGCCTTCCCAGAAGTCAGCTGTTTGAGATGGACTTCGAAAGTATGAGACTTCTCTTTGTGTTCTAGGCACTGCGGGTGGTCAATGGCCTGTTACTGAGTGAGAGGGTGCGTGGGGAGAAAGGCAGCAGATTTGCCCATCAGTGAAGACCCTGGAATGCTGTGGCCAGACCAGATTCCGGCCATTGGCTTCAGGAAACCTTTGAAGTCTTGACATGATCAAATGGGGTTTTAGGACAGTAACTCTGATGGCAGTGAGGAGACTTAACAGAAAAAACAGATACTTCAGGCTATAAGGCCAGTTTGAGAGCTTTTTCAGTGGCCCATGGAATGGGACTTATGGCCTGAACAAAGGCCGTGGCATCTTGCTCTCTGCCAGCCATCTGTGTTGTCAGAGTGGCCACTCTGCTCGGAGCAAAGGCAAAGCTTTTTCTGAGACATGCAGCAGCTCTGAAGAGACCAGACTAAAGAAATGTCCTGTGTTTGGAAACTAAAATTCTTTCTTACCCAAGAGTAATCTATCTAAATCTCAAAGCACAACTTCCTTATCACATGTACGATAAACTTTAAGAAATACTGATCTTTTCTATCACCATCATAATAAACTTTGATTTATCAGGAAACTGTAGGAAGTAATAAACTTTTGTCTAATTGGTGGAACTGATATCACTTTGTTTACATTGTTTGGGGCATCTTTTCTCTTTGCTTATCCTATGCATTCAACTCTGGTCAGGTGTATGGATTCGCCTTGAGCCTTTTTTAGTTTCTCTCCCTTTTTTCTCTTGTTCCTTTTCTCTTTTCTTCTTTTCCTTTTTGTTTTTCTTTATGAGGCAACAGACATAAGGTACTCTTGCATGACTTGGGGTGTATGGGTGGAATTTAAATGAAATTAGCATGACTAAAAGCACATGTCACAGGGACCTTGGTGTTCCAGGAATAGGATGTGAAGAGTAAGGACTGGGAAATGGAATGTTATAGAATGGGGCAGGAAATGTGTAAGCATTTTCCATTCCTAAAAGCCTCGGGTTAAATGTGCCGCCCTGACCCGGAGCAGCTGGCTGACTCTTCTGCTGTATGTGCCAGGGATCTCTCCTGGTTTCCCCTGAGGAACATACAATAGCTCCCAATGCACAGACAGCATTTATTGAACTGTTCATTCATCTGTGCCATTTAAAACTAGCCCAGTCCTTTCCTCCACAAGTACTAGATATGAATATAAAGTTTAAATGTACATGTAGGATGATTTTACTTATGCTTCAGTTCATTATGCTGTATATGGTACATGATGTATATACGTTTAAACATTATATACAACCATTCACATATATGGGGAAGTATCAAAATGTTACCCTGTAAAATCATTTACACTTGCCTTTCTTTAATGTGTTCCTCAAATATTTATTGACTCACTCGCGTTCTGACCAGGCTCTGTGCTAGGCATTGAGTATACAATGGCATACAAAATAGAAATGATTCTTGGCTTCACAGAGCTTTCAATCTGGTCTGCAAAGCAGACATCTAGACCAGCAATAAGAAGAAGTCCTGAAAATGACCTCCTCAGAGCCATTTAGGGTGTGACTGGAGCTTCAGCAGGGGTACTTGACTGAGAGAAGGAAAGTTAAGGAAGGCTTTTTAAGGAAAGAACAGCTAACCTGAGGCCTCTGGAATGACTAGGAGTTATCCAGCAAAACTGGGGCAATAAGAATCACAGGCAAAGTGAATCATATGAGTTAAATCACAGATGCAAGGAAACACTTAGCAAGTCAAGAAAACTTTTAGCCCTGACCGGTATGGCTTGATTGGGCCTCATCCTGCAAATTCCTGGTCGGGCATATGCCTGGGTTGTGGGTTAGGTCCCCCATCAGGGTGTGTACAAGAGGCAACTGATCGATGTTTCTATCCCACATCAATGTTTCTCACCCTCTCTTTCTCCTTCCCTTGCCCTCTCTCTAAAAACAAATAAGTAAATAAAAGAAAACTTTAAAAAATTCAACATGAGTGAAGTGTGTGATATACGACAAGTCCCGAATGGGGAGAGGGTAGAGTAGGTGGGTGAAGAGATAAGCCTGGAAAGATGGATAACATTTCAGAAAAGATATGTTAAGCCTCTATCTGAAGAGTAATGGCGAATTAGTGAAGTACTGTAAGCAGGAAAGGGCCACCATTGCGACCACAAGTGGAGAAGGGATTGGGTAGGCAAGACTGCAGGCAGGGAGAACAGTTAGGAAGCTGTTGGAATAACTCAAAGGCACGATGATTGGATCAGTGGTCTCAGCTTAAATGTCCCTGACCCCTAACCTAAATTAAGATCCTGGAATGGTCTTACAGCACACTCTATTTTCTCTGCATGGTATTTATTAATAAAATTTTATATGTGTTTCTGTTGTAATTTTTTTACTAAATGTCTCCTTTATTAGATAGTGAATTATTTCATGCAGGCAGGAGCCTGTTACACTTCTTAGCAACTGTGACTCCAGCACCCAGAGTCGTACCTTGCAAATAAGAAGGAATCAATACCTATTTGTGAATGAAAGAATGGATGGATGAATGGAGACGAGGGAAATGGACAGATTTGTGGGATACTTGGGAACTGGAGTTAGTAGGACTCAAGGTTGCTGATAAGGGAAAAACAGTCGGTCATCAAGAATGAGTCCCAGATTCCTGGCTTGATTTCCAAGCAGGTAATGGTTTCATTTATAGAGAAAGGAGATACTTGTGGCCTGACAGGTGGGAAAAGCAGTTTCAGGGCAGGGGCGGATGGTGAGTTCAGCAGGTTGAGCTGGGCATCGGGCGTGGTTTTTATACTGCAAGTTACATTTCAAGTTTCTCTTACCAAAAAAATAACAAACAAAAAAAAGCATACCAACAACAAACAAGAGAAATAAGTATAGAAGAAATACGAATGGACAAATAGTTTTTGCTTTTATTGTTTAGTTTTCCACAGGTTGTCTCTTCTAATTCTTTTATTTTAGCAGACAAAACAATTTATTAAATTGCATCTTTCTATTCATAAAAGCATTAAAATACAGAAAGAAATATTAGGGTATTGGGAATGTAGTAGAAATTACTTTAATAATTTTTTTTCTTGTTACATTTTTGTGATTAAAGTGAAAAATAAAACCAAATGTAAGGACTGTTTTCTGCGTTCTTATTTTTATTATTCAATAGTTCTAAACCATATTAATCCAATTTGGAGGCTTCGATTAAAGTCATCAATGGATCTCTTACATACTTTGTCCTTCAAATTGTAGCTCTCATGGTGGTTGGAGGGAAATATATCACTTCTGAGGATCTAACACATCAAAACTTGATTTATGAATAGCAGTATTTAAGCACTTGCAAAATTCTCTTCAATGGCAGATCACAGATAAAAGAAAAAGAAACTGAAGCCTCTAATTTTTACTATAAACTTAAAATTCCAGACTTAGGAAATCTGCTTCAGTTCTAACAAGAGTAATAATCTCAGAATGCGTTGAGTTCAGGTTTAATATAAAAATCTATTAGATGGATTCTGACTTAATTAATATCCCTCCTTGTTTCCCTTTCTTGCCTTTTTCTCTCCTTTCTTTTTGTAGGTGGTTCAGAAGTGTATTCCTTTCTTAATCAGGCATTTGAAGGACTCGGCCCATAATGATTTCATCCTAAACATCCTCTTAGAGATCGCAGGCTACCAACCAGTGGCTTTGAACAGTTTTCTTCCAATGCTGAAAGAGATTGGTGAAAGATTCCCCTACCTCATTGGACAGATGGCGAGAATTTATGGAGCTGTGGGGCATGTGGATGAAGTAAGTTTGGCTGGTTTTCCTCTTATCTTCCTTAAATTCCACTGACATTCACTCCACTGAAGTTCTATGGCTTGCACATTTTTTTCTGGGACTTCTGAGAGTTCCCATGTCTCTTTCAAATCTTTTGCATAAACAGCAACCTCTGGATCCAGGGCCCCTTATAGCGGGACTACGTGAAAGGTTCAGGAAGTAAAGATATCATTGCCAGAGTGTCACCTGAGAAAAAAGAAAGGTTAAAATGTCTCTATGACATATTCAAGACCACTTTTTAATAAAAACAACCAATAAATAAGTTTTATCTCATTTTGGTCGCACTTCTGCATAATCCAGGAGACCATCAGTAAGCACCAAATCAGAGGCTACCTATTATTAATGAGAATCCTTTGCTTTCCTGTCAATAAGGACCTGTACAAAGTATGTTTTGAGGCCTCTGGATGGTGTTACTTGGGTGAGTGAAATAAACCTTCATGGACGTTTAAAACGACTAGCCTAAATATTTGTTTAGTGGGATCTTTTAGCAGACACAACAAGATGCCACTGGAACTTGTGGGGATTAGGCTCCTAAGAAAAAATTTCCAGAAATTCAAGTTCCAAAGGTTGTATGCATGCATATGTACATACACATGCCTGTCTGTCTGATGATTTTATATTGGGATTTAGGATTTTTACCTTTTAAAAATAAAGGCAAATATATAATTGATGGAGGGAAGCTTTTACTTTTATACACTGACATATGTTATCGTTTCCTATAAGATAAATATAAAACTGTACAATTCTTAAAAGAAATTTCATAGCTCATCAAGTTCAACCTCTTGATTCTCTACAGGAGAAAATTAAAAAATGGAAAAGTTAAGTGACTTACCCAGACTCAGAGCCAGTTAGTTGGCAACTCGGTTGGAATTAGGTCTTTGGTGTTCTTGACACTCTTTTCAAATGTTGTGTTCAAGTGGATCTTTGGTCCTGCTGAGATTTGCAGAGAGCCCAGGGAATGCTAGCTTTCCTCCTGGAGGAGGGCTTTCTCCCCTAGCTTCCCCAAAGAAGGTGGAGAGCTGAGCTTCCAAGCAGCCTGCACCTGTCAGCGTGAGGGTGGATTTTGTAAAAGGATTACTTTGATAGGGACAAGCTGCTTAGTCTAATCCCTTTCTATTCATTACTGTTGGGAATGCCTCACGCCTGCCACAATCTGCCTCCTGGTAACACTTTCCCGTGCTGTTGTCACCTTTGTTGCCAGGAGAACCTGCTGATGTGCCCAAGTGCTTTTAGGCCAACTTTAGCAGACAGCTGTTTGAAACTGCTGACCTTACGTAATTTTTCATGGACCAAAAATTTCAACCTCTTATATGGGAGCCTTGGAATCTTTAAAAAGTGTACTTTCCTGTACTTTAGTGGTGTTCTTTTTGTCACAAATACATTCATGACTCATTAAAATCTAGTAATGCACATTGGAAATGACTAAATTTTCCACAGAAACTCTAATCTACTAAAAAAAACCCCAAAACACTAGCCACATAACAATTATGTTACTGTAGGTTTTTCCAAACTAAAGCAAATCTAAGAGAGAATGGTCTATTAGGTGAGATTTGTGTGACTCTAGATGGGAGCAGAAAGAAGAAAGGATCCAAATAGCATTAAGAATCATTTATTTCAGAATTCAGAATATTAACATATTCTCTCCTGTCTCTCACTCTGTCTCTCTCTGCCCCCGACCCAGCTCTGATCCTCATGTGCCCATGGACACATTTATGTTTGATAGAGAAAAAATAATTTTTTGGTGGTTCTCATTCAGTTTCCCAGTGGAGAAAAATTCTAGAGCAAATATTTCCAAATGTATCTAGATATTAGAATTACATGAAAAAATTTTTTAATAATATAAGTTGTTGGGCACCGTAAACTACCTACTAAATCAAAATCTTCAGGAAAAGGACCCAGGACTCTGGATTTATGGGACCTTCTGCTAGGGTGATCCTGATGTCATTGCTTGTGGGTCAATATTTGAGATCCTTTGATGTAAAGTATTTAAAACATTTTTCTGTTTTAAACTTAGAATCAGGCTTTGTTCATTACCCATCCTACCCTCCTCCCAAGCCATGCTAATCAGTTAAAACTGTTCCACACTACAGGAAACTATAGCAGTTTAGATAAGATGTGGCTGGGAGTAACAAAAAAATTCAAAACAACGGTGGCTTAAACAAAGGTTGATATCTATTTCTCTTGCACATAAATAAGTCTAGAAGGCAGCTAGTCTAGAACTTTATGGTTGCAGAAACCCAGGGATTTTCTACTTAGTTACTCTATCATCCTTGAGCACACCAGAGAGCACATGGCTTCTACCTCATGGTCCAAGGTGGCTACTCATCTTTACCAATCAAGTCAGCATTTCAACCAGCAGGAAGATGAAAGGAGAAAACACCTTTCCATACAAACATAATCTATTGTTTATATTCCATTGACTAAGTAGAACAAAGCTGCACATGACCATACCTAGCTGCAAGGGAGACTGGAACATGTAGTCTAGATTCAGATGGCCACACACCCAGCTAATTGAGAGAGAAGGGCAGAAAGAAATATGAAAGACAAAGAATTTCTCTGTTGCAGATTGTCAAGTCATTTCATTTCTCTTGTCTTTTCTCTCAAAAATAATGTTTTACACTGCTTTAACTCCCTTCTGGCTGATATTCTTTGATTCCTTTATTTTATTTCACTTAGGATAAAACTGATGTAATTATGTATAATTGTCAGTCAAGCTCCTTTACTCAAGAATAATGCCCCTTGTTATTTGTTCCTAATGCTTGAATATCATTTTAGAAAATCCTTCTTTTATCTTCAAAGAATGCTAAAGCTCAGATGTTCCAAGAATGAATATAGTAGTTTAAACAGCTAATAACTGTTTAATTTGAGTGAACCCATTAACCCAGTGGTTGTGTACAGGTTCTTATCACTGCACAGGAAAGAATTTAAGAGTGAGAAAAAGAGGTTTAACAAAGCAGATTTATTAAAGTGACATTACACACTTAAGAAGGAAGTGTGGGTGAACTCAGACAGCTAGTCACACTGAGGGGATCTGGGTGGAGGTTTTGATCGACTCTGCGCAAGGGGAGGAGATGGGGTGGCTTGGAGGGTGACAGTCATCAGCACAACTCATCGTTTTTCTTCCTCTCTGCATGGTGGCCTGGTGATCTGGAGGACAGAGTGTTTTCAAAATTGTGATGTAGGTCAACATGGTTGCCAACTCTGGCAGAGAGTGGTTTTGTTTATCTTAACTGTTTTTTACCCCAAGAAATAGGGAAGGTAGCAATGGGCAGAATAGGGAGGGGTGGGGTAGAGCCTGGGGGCCTTCATTCCCTATGCTAACTTTCCTGTTTCAATAGGACCCCAGTGACCTCAGGCCCTAGGATCTTCTTGTCACCCTGTCCTGGCCTCACCTGAAAATTGACTTAATTTAAAATTTTTTTCTTTGACACCAACATAAAAATTTCAGATGTATTCAGGGGATACCAAGTATCAAGTGATTTTGTTGTTAAGATTTCAAACATTTTGGAAATGCAGAAAAACTAATTGAACTTTAAGTAGCTTGCTCCAACTTTTGAAATACAAAATCTGTGACTAATCAATGCCCACTATTCCAACCCCCCTTGTTGTGTGGTTCTGGCAAACTATATTACTTGACCCTTAAGAGGAAAAATAGAGTCTCCTGGGAGTGTGCAGACCAGAGAGAGCCTCAGGGGTAGATTCAACTCAGAATCAATCACACAAGTTATTAATTGACGTATGCTTCACCTTCTGTGCTTGTGTGAAGCCAGGTGTAAGAACTTCAGGGCCAGCTGTGGGGAACCAGATCGGTGCATCTTTTAAGTCTTTTAAATCAGAGCCCATCTGAGTGGGCAAACTGCTTCAACAACTTGGTAGCTACATCACAGTTTTTCCATCTGTATTACACCCAACAGAGGGAAGCTGGACAAAATAAAAAAAAAATAACCCTAGAGATCCTTATTTTCTCTCTCTCTCAAATTACCTCAATAGTTTTTTTTGGGGGGGGGGGTTGCCCAAAGTTACATGAAAGCATGCTTAATAGCCATAAAATTCTTGTGTCACTATAGGAAGCTATACAGTGACTCACCAGCCTTTTTCAAATATGTGCTGACATCTAATGCATATCTCTTGGATGGAGAGTGAAAATGGGAGTGTCAAAGAGCAGAGAAGTTTTCTTCTAGAGTAAATGATGAGTTGTTACTCAAGCCTTTCTCATTGCATGTATTTGGATATGGGCTTAAACTTAAGTCTAACAGAGAAATTAGGGAAGACAGCAACCATGGAAATGGCTTGCTTTTTCCCTGCTTCTCTCCAAGGGAAGAGTCTGAATAGATGGATATGCATGGGACAAGTCAAAATAAGGCCATACAGAAAAAAAAAATGAGGTACCATAGGTAACCATTTGTATCATTAAAGGTATAAAGCAGAAGTGATTATGTGCTTTCTTTTTTTTAGGAAATAACTGGTATGCATAGTTTTTGTGTTTTGTTTTGTTTTTGACTCAGAGTGTATCTATATGTATCTATTTTATATTTATATTGCAGAGCATTTTTCCTAAGGGGAATAAGAGTAATAAAAATAATAATGAAGCCACATTTTATAAAATTTGATAATTTAAAATAGGCCTATTTTGTTCGGTGCACTGGAAGTGCATTGCTTTTCATAAACAGCAGGTGTTCCCCAGCTTCCCACTTATAAAAACCGTACAAATAAGTTTATAGCTTTTTAAAAAAAACTCTCATTAACTAAATCTGAAGTGGTTTAAATTAAATGTAGACCAGACTGACTTTTCTTGTCCATGGAGAACTAAAATAGAATATTTCTATTCTAGAAGCTTTTCTTTTTCTTTTTCATTACTTTCTTCACCCATTAGACCCTCTCAGCTGTGCAAGTGGTCTTGGCCTGCTTCTTGGGGTACTGGACTTATTACAGCTCTCTTTCCTAATATAGGTCAACATGGCAAAGAGACT